ATCAAAAGGAAGTAGGATGGACTGACAGACGGGGACACACACACACACACACACACACACACACACACACACACACACACACACACACACACACCCCCCAGGACACACACCTCCTGCCTGCAGTGCACTATTGATGGTGATGGCTGGTGGCAGCAGTGCAATATAAACTGCCTTGGAACGAGACGATCCACCTGGCCCTCAAGGGTATGTGTGCATAGGGTGGGGTGGGTGAGGCTTAGATACCGAGCGGCTGAGACCACCAGCCCCGGTCTGGCATTTGCAGATGGCCACTTTTTGCCCCCACGCCCCCAGCCCTCCAGCCCCTCGGGGACACGTGCAGACAGACACACGCCTAGGCCTCCAGCAGTGGCTTGGGCGGCAGCACGGGTGCGATGCATCAAAAGCGACACGGCCCTTGCCTGGCAGCATGGTCGGTGTGACGGGAGAGCAGGCGACACGTGACGTGCCACAGCCCCCTGCTAGCCAGCAGCTCAAAGCCAGCTCCTGGCGCATCCGGCTAGTGAGACTCCCCTCTAAAGAAAACGATTAATCAAAGAGAGGGGACTAAGCTCTCGGGCTTCTGATTCGGGTCTGGAAAATGCTCAGCCGATGGTGGCGTGGAAATAATTGCTCCCGCTCGGTTGGTACAGCGGGCTACCTGCCTGCTGCCGGCGAGCACCGAATCTCCGCCCTCCTGCCCGGGAGTACAAGTTGGTGCCCCAGCCCCCCTCCCGGCGGTCCAGTGATAAACAGTTCAAACTACAACAGGACCTGACGTGCAGATCAATTCTGGCTCCGCAAAGAATCTACACAAGGGGTGCCGGGCAGGGATTTACGGTCACCCGCTTTTATTCTCGCTCGCTGCTGAAATTACTTCTGTCAAGCACTTAGGGGAGGAAGGAAAGAAAGGGGAAAAAAATTAATTTTTCATGTACTCTGGGAGCAGCCTTTTCTGAGGCAGAAGTTTAAGATGAATATGTCTCTATTGAAAAAAGAAGAAGAAGGAAGAAAGGAAAGGAATCGGAGCAGCCTGGGGGCTTCATGGGTGAGGGGGTGACCCAGGCAGCAGGGAGCAGCCGGCAGCGGGAGCCTCTGGGGTTCTCTGGGAGCGTGGTGTGGGGCTCCTGCTAGCCCTGCCGAATTGTATTAGAGACAGAATCTCAAACCGCAGAGACCTACACCCTTAACATGCCACCTTGCCTCAGCAGAAGGCGGGGGGAGCATTCCATGGGCTGGCACTGTGCTGCCTCTCCCTCCCTGACTCCCACATTTCACCAGTAGCCCTGGGTTTGGGAGCTGGGCCCCACTACAACGCTGTTTATCGACTCAGGAGTTCTTGTGGTTACTTAGGAGAGAGAACCCACTGGGGGGTGAGGGGAGACCTTTGTGTCTGGGGTTGGGGGTGCTGAGAAATTATCTGGAGGCCACTGTTCATTTTGTATGGGCCAGGGGACAAGGGGAAGCCCTGGTGGCGCAGTGAGTTACTCATTGGGCTGCTAACTAAAATGTCAGTGGTTTGATCCCACCAGCCACTCCCCGGGAGAAAGATGAGTCTGTCTGTCTGTTCCCATAAAGAAGGACATCCCGGGAACCCCAGGGGCAGTTCTCCTGTCGTATAGGGCCACTCTGGCAGTGGGTCTGAGATGGAGTGACACAGTGGCCGCAACAATGGGCTCAAACACAACAGCCATTGTAAGGAGGGCGCAGGGCATAGCAGTGTGTTGCTCTGCTGGTGGTACATGGGTTGCCATGAGTTA